GAGACTTAGAAGAGTAAGCCGGTCATAAGTTAGCAATGCAGAGCCACCTGAATAGCATATTAGCAGAAAGGTAAGAAGCAGCAGAGAGCAGTGGAGACGGCCCGCCGAACACACTGCCGCCATCTCAATGCCAAGACTCAATGACAAGATAGCATGAAACCAGAATTTCCCTTCTAGGATGGATGGATTCCCTGGATTCAATAAGACGTGACACTAAAGTCTAAAGACACCAGCGAAGTGGTTTCTGAGATCACGAGAGAGCTGAGCATCGTTTGTCCAGTTTTACTTCTGTCTGAAGCGAAGCCTCCTCTTTGAATGACTAATTATACAGTAACTAAATCAAACTTACCCCCAGTGATAAATGTTAACAAACTGTTTGTTTATGCAGGCTGAATGCACATTCAAACAGGGACCAAGCTTCAGTAGGTTATACTGATACTGTCACCAGGTCGACTGTATTACTGTATTAATATAATTAATATAATTAATATAATTGCATGTATTACTATGCAATTATTCAAAGCACGCTCCACCCACACAATCAGATAACACACCTCTGCAGTCTGGTACTGAGAGTTTGTTTGTTTTATCCCTATTATATAACCTGTATTTATATATGTGTATGCATGGTATATTTATGCTCATGTCCTTACTCTCATTCCCCTTCATTTAGTATTTCAACTCTGTAACAACTTCTGTCGATGCTGTGCTACTGGAAACTGACTTTCCCACCCGAGGGATTAATGAGGCTTCATCTAATCTAATCTTACCTGCAGAGTCCCATTCAGCTCCTCATTGGAGTCCCAAAGCATCTTGGGAAACTTGGTGCCCTTTCGTGGAAATAATAAAATCTTAATATCACAACAAATACAAGTAATAGTACAATATGTATTCATATGTATTCATGCTTTGTGCTTCTCTGTAACTACAATGAGGCTAAAGCAAAGAACACGAGCTTATTAAAATACTGAAGTCCTGAGAGTTTACTGTACAGATGTCCTCACCTCGTCCATCAGACCTATCTCATCTCCGTAGCTGAAGATGGGCGTCCCAGGCAATGTCAGCAGCAGCAACTGATGCAGTTTAACTAGAGCTGGGCCCACCAGTGAAGCCATGTGACCCTCGAGCCGCCCCCCCAGATTCCAGGCGAGATTCATCTGACTCTGGGACGAATACAAGTGCTGGATAGAGCGAGCGAGCTCCGTGACATCCGTGTCACGTGAATGAAGGACCCGGGAGATCAGGAGGTCAACACCCGTGGAAGAGAGGAGGGTGGACACATCTTCAGCAGAGGAGCGGTCTGTGACGCCAATCAAGACTCTGAAAATCACAAGCGCAGAAGGTTTACGTAATCCAGAGATTAACTGATGTTAATGCAGGACTTTCTCAGGTAGGCCTAATAAACACAGAATAAAAATGATCTGGTCCTAAAGCAGAGCTATGTAGTTCTGGACATATGGCCTCAGTAGGGTCTCCCAGAGGAAGAGTGAGTCAGAAAACCCCTGTGAAGGAGAAAGCAAGGTCCACCCTGGTGGGACAAGGTGACAGTGCCAGGCAGTAACAGCAGGGCAGAATACACAGCCTCTGTCAGCCACAGAAAAACTCTACTGTATGTAAATGTTCTGCAATATTTGAGTGAGAAAATCCTCGAGCGTATTAACCAAAACAAAAGAGAACTTTTCTGGACCGTGGGGAACTTTCATGTGCAGGTGTTTGCCACATGAAGTGTTGGGCTGTTGCATCTGCTATGTTGGAATAACAACCCAGCGGCTTCGTAAAGTAAAGGGACACTTGCATAGTAAACACTTTTACAAACTTCAAATGTAATCTAAATGACAAGACACAGACACACAGACGTGGGTAAAGCTGGAGGTTTCCTGCTGCTGCCATCTCCTGCTTCATGAAATCTCTGCTAGTACTCGGTGACATCCAGGCGCACTGTTTTCCTCACCTGCTGCTGGGATGCTTGTCCGTCCTGTTCTGCACGATGGCTCGGATGTCGTTCCAAAGAGACGGCACCACTGTGGCCACGCGCTCCACCCCTGACAGCTGGATGCCATCCACGCCTTCGTCCAGCCAGAACACCAGAGCAGACTGAGGCACACGGACACACTCGTCACTTCTGTTACCCACCTGATGACTGCTTTTAATGAATAATAACTTAACTGGATTCAAATGATTTTAATGTTAATATTGGAAGCAACAATGACTTTGCTGCCGCGCACTGAGATTTCTGGCACGTTTAGCTGAACAGCAGTCAGCAGCATGTGTGTGTGACATCAGCACTCACCTTCAGTCTCTCTGCTACAATCGTCACGCTGCTGTTGGAGAACCAGGGCCCGGACGAGCCCAGGTAGTTTGGAGTCAAATCCAGAACCACAAAAACACCTGCACAGGTGAGCAAATGTACTACAGTAAGTACATGTGTACTTTGGTGTCGTTCTTCATATACTTGAGTCGATCTCTTTGACTTTTTCAGAGCATTTTAGTGAAACAATCATTCTGGTCTGTAGTCAGCATGACTCCCACTGATATGGGACATAAAACATGAAACATCATGAGACTGCTGCTTCTGTAGAAGGCTGTCTCCCTGACCCTTTTTATGAGCAGCCTGGACGAAACCCTTAAACTGGTCCAGGTTTCCAGCCTCGGGGGAAATCTCCTCAAAGCTCAGGTTCACAGCTTCATCCGGAGGCGCCACGTGGATCGGCCCGACCACCAGCCCTTTGACTTTCAGCTGAGCCAAACTGTTGACCTTTTGTTCCAGGCCTGAGGTGGAAACACACACAGTGAGGAGGAGCAGTAGTTTACTGTTGTGATGGTTCTTTGTGGTGACTCTTTTATACTTCAGCAGCTGCTGACGTTGTGTTTGCCTGATTTTACATCTGACTGTAGAAAACACAGCAAACGGTCAGATAACTGAGCAGGGAGTTGCAGACAGAGCATGTTGGATGTTACACATTTAGTGGAGAATGATGCAAAGATGATATTTATGTGTGATCTCTATCTACGTTTGGACTCACCTTTCAGGTTGTGGGTGTCGGTGAAAGCCTGGATGTTTCCAATCTGGTACAGAGGCCCATCGTTCCACCAGTTGGTGTTGGGCAGATCTTTGCAGCGAGGGGCCTGCAGGATGATGAGGACGGCCCCCACCAGCATCCCCAACCAGCCGAGCCAGAACACCACCAGCAGCGCCCAGCGGGTCCTCACCCAGCTGAGAAACAGGAAAAGGCTGGATTATCAATGAGCCGAGGCTCTGCGTCCTGCAGGTACCCAAACGTGACTCTCTGGACGACTGAAGTGAATCTGGAAACGCACCACGGCTATGAATGCTGAAATGTTTGTGTTTCCTTTGTGACGCCTTCGACGATTTTCACGTCTTGGCCAAAAGACCCAGAACACGTAAAGGTCCATCCATCCAT